TTCGAACATTCCTGGGTTCTAAGAGCATTTCGTGGTAGGACTATAGGAATGCCGGGACGGTCGGTCCCTGCTCAATCCTCCTCCTCCTCCTCCTCCTCCGCCTCTACCTCCCCCCCCCCCTCCTTCTCCTCGCCCTCCCCCTCCCCCTCCTCCTCCTCCTCCTCCTCCTTCTCCTCCTCGTTGGATGTTCTTGAGGACGGAGCCCTCACGTCTGGGCTCCGCGGAAATGATATGCCACCGGCTCTCCTGCCCTGACCAGGGCCACGGGTGCCAGTTCTTGCCCTGAGGTCAAGGAGGAAGGAGGCAGTAGGAAGAGGATGAGGAGGAGGAGGAGGAGGAGGAGGAGGAGGAGGAGGAGGGCCCGAGGCGGGCGTTTTCGCCTGGCTTCGGGCCTCGGGACCCTCACGGATCGATCCTGCTCGAGCAACGACGCAGACAGGTGGGGTCTAGGGCTCCCGTCGCGCTTTCTCAGGACGGTCCAATTTTTGCGATGCGTCGGATCTCAGAGTCACAACGGGCGATGTTGCCCCTGCCCAAGCCGCTCAAGCCTGTTTAGCTCAAGCCGCTCTGGCTGAGGCCATTCGCTACACAAGTGCGGTAACCCATGGGCGTTCCTTGCGCCATGGTTCGCAGTCTGATTCAATGCCTGCTGACTGTGCTCTTGCTTTTTGCAGATCATGCGAGCGCCGTGCGTCATGGAGGCCGCACTGCTTACCGATCTGCGCTGCGCGGCAAGCACGTCTCGAGGACACTCGTGTCGAATACCACGGACGGCAAGGTTTTCTGGCGCTCCACGGTCTGCGTGAATGGCCAGTGCAACACGACCGAATCGACGATAGCTCCTGATCAGCTCAGGGAGACGTCGGGCTTGGACGGGGAGCTCGACCGTGTTGACAACATGTTCGGCAGCGATTTCGCCCGCACGGATGGCATATTCGGTGAACTCTTTCCCGTTGTGGACGATTTCTTTGGCAGCCCGTTTGACGGTTTCCTTGGCAGCAGGTCACCCCGCTCGGACGACATCTCTGGCAGTCCTTTCAGCCAGATGCTTGATGATGCGGCGATGCCTCTGCTGACGGGCAACTTGTCGGCCGATGGAGCCAGGATGGGCAAGATCAATGCCACCTCGACCTCTTCCACCATCGAGCAGATCCTCGGAGAGGACGGCCAGGTTCATTACACGATGACGACTTGCAGCAATGGTGAGTGCAAAACCGTCGCAGGCGAAGGTCGTCCCGACGAGCAGGCAGTGAGCGAGCTTCGGGCGAAGCCATCAGATGTTTAGTTGGGCCATGTGCGCTTTAGGTGGGCCGCGTTCTCACGCAAAGACCATAACAGACCGAGATAACGCTTACTTGCAGAGCCTGGGGGAAAGAACAGATCTACGGTCAGGAACCTGTGGCTAATTGGCGTGTCGCGCCGCCGGTTCTGGCCCACCACGCTTCGGCGCGACACGCGATCTAGCGACACGCTATTCGCTCCCAGGGCATCGCGTGTCGCCGGGGCCGCCGTGGGGACACGCTAATTATCACAAATTCCCGACCTTGCGGGACGAGCCGACGATCCTGGCGTCGCAGTGTTTTGGGCCCTGGGGCCCTCATGGATCGATCCGGCTTGCGCAACTGCCCAGAAAAATGGGGTCCAGGGCTCCGGTCGGTCGAGTTGTCTTACGATATTGTCTTCTTTTAGTGACGTCGGCTCTATCTCAAGGGATGATGAACCCGCAGCCAGGCAGGCCTATTTTGGGACGGTGCGATTTTCGCAAGTTTTTCTCGCCTGTGGATGCTTTCCTGCGGCTGCGCCTTGCCGGAAGCGCTCCAGGGTTGCCAGAGTCGTCCGGAAAATCGCCATTGCATGCAGGATTGCAAAAAAACCCTTCGTTTTGTTTTGCAATCCTTCGGTTTTTTTTTTGCAATCCTTCGGTTTTTTTTGCAATCCTTCGTTTTTTTTGCAATCCTTCGTTTTTTTGCAATCCTTCGTTTTTTTGCAATCCTTCTTTTTTTTGCAATCCTTCGTTTTTTTGCAGAGCTATGCTCTGAAAGCCCATATCTTTGACGATCTGATTTTGGCAAACTACTCCCGGGGGACGCTCTCTGGACCGTTGGTTTGGACGCCCAGAATGGGCACGGAATCAATGGGCACAATGCCCAACAGCAAATGCTGCCCCGAACCAGCAGCGGCCGCTGCTTGGCAGGCGGCCTTCTGTCTCAAATGGACACGATCCGCGGCGACGCCGACGGCGCATCCGGTTCAGAATGAACAAGAACTGCTGTCGGTCTTTGTGCCCATTCTTTCCGTGCCCACGTCGGTCGTCCCAAGTTGGGGCCGCACCCGACCATCACATCGTCAGATGCCTGGGTCCGGGGCGTCCATCAGAGCGTTTCGCAGCGCGCCGGAGCGGCCGCGGCGCCCCGCGCCTTCTCCGGATCCCCGCGGGCCCTAGAGGTGTCGAGCCGACGTGTGCTTCAAGCAACCTATTTTTCGGGCGAAGGGGACTATGCACATGCACCGATGCCGGCAAGGCCCATCCTTGACCCAGGATCGGTGCATATACCCTCCAAGCCAAGGTCGGAGGGCGTATGCACCGATCCTGGGCTCAGGATGGGCCTGGCCAGAGTCGGTGTAGGTGCATAGTTTTTTTTTTTTCCTTCATCTATATGTTGTGCAATCAATTGCAATCTAAGCGGTGCACTTTTACACGCCGGTCGTTGAAAGTAGGTAATTTTGGATTCCCGTATCCCAATCTACTTCAGGCGCCTTCCTACTTCAAGAATCGACATGCTTTTGCTGTGCGTTGTTATTCTCTGGGAGGGCCTGGACCCAATCCACTTTATCAGCCTTCCTACTTCATGTTTCTACCTACTTCTTCCGATCGACGTGTAATAGTGCAATCTATGTTGTGCAGCAGATGTGGTCCAAAACATGTGATGCAATAAGTTATAACCGCTAGAGGTCTTGAGTTTTTGGGCCCCACGTTTCTCTCGGTGGTGAATAGGACAGGTTCTCAATCCCCCTCCCCCTCCTCCTCCTCCTCCTCCTCCTCCTCCTCCTACCTCCTCCTCCGCCTGGGGCATAAGTAGTGGTAGTCGTCGTCGTGCAATATATGTTGTGCACTCTAGGTAGTGCAATACATGCTGTGCACGCCATGTGCTTGCAATATATGTAGTTCAATTTATGTTTTGCAAGCTGTGTGGTGCAGTCGTTGTGGAGCAATATATGTGGTAAAATCTATGCTGTGCAATCTTTGTGTTGTATAATCTATGCGGCTCAATCTAGGTGGTGGACTCTTTGTTGTGCTATGTATGTGGTGCAATATATGCTGTGCACTCTATGTGGTGTAATATATGTTGTGATTTCGATGTGGTCCAATATATGCGGTGCTGCAAGCTATATGGTCAGTATACGGGGTGCAATGCATGTGGTCCAATATATGCTGTGCAACCTGTGTGTTGCGATCTGGGTGGTTTAGTATATTATGCGCGCTCTATGTGGTGCAACACAGCATGAACGACCCGTGTGGTCCAAACTATGCGGTGCAGTATATGTTGTGCAAGCTATGTGTTGCAGTATAAGGGGTGCAATATGTGTGGTGCAATGTATGTTGTGCTTTCTGTGTGTTGCGCTATATGTGGTGCAGTCTACGTTGTGCAAATCATGTTGTTCGATCTTTGTGGTGCTCTCTATGTCGTGCAACATCTATGTTGCGCAACCTCTGTTGCGCAATCCATGTGGTGCAACACATGCTGTGCAATCCATGCGGTGTAACTCGCCCTGCCGAACCTGAAGTTGTCAACTCCACTGTGTGCGTAATCGCCTCGCCCACACGCCCAAGAAGAACCATGCAGCGGCAGTTGCGATGGCTGCTTGGCGCTGGCTGGCGCGTCGCTTTGGCCGCGCTCGCTCGCGCAGGCTCGCCCTCTGCGGCCGGCTGGTCTGGCGCGACCGCCGCGGCCGCGGTGGCGCTGATCGTTGAGGAGTGCCCAGCGCGTCGCGCAGGCTGCGCTAAGGCGTGGGCGCTTCGGTGCGGGTCGGCGACTTGGGTGGGCGCGGTATTATGGCTACGTCGACAACGGTAGACGCCATGATACTTGTAGCGATGCTGGTGACGACCATGACGATGACGATGAGGACGGCGCAGCCCATGACGGCGCCGATGCGCATCACGCTGGTGACGATGATGGTGTCCGCGCGTCGGTGATGAAGGTTTCGGGGAAGATTTCGACATGCGTGCGCGGCCGACGGGCTCGAGAGGCCCGCATGGTATCATTTGACAGGGACCGTGCCCACCCCCAGCACGCGCGCAAAGGCGCTCGAATGATTTCGATATGCGCGCGCGAGGGCCCTCCTGGTCGCATTTGATGACATGTTGGTGTTGTAATGCGCGCGCAGACTTTTTTTTTTTTTTTGAACAGACGCGTTGCAACACCATGTTTGTCTATAGGTCTTCGGGACACTAGATTTTGAATTCCCGGTGAAACCAACGGTTTTGACGCACATCGGCATGCCGGTGCGACGACGCGTGCGTGCGCACATCGTCCCAATTGTCGCTGGTTTTTTTTTTTTTGCGCATTGATGGTTTTTGATACACGAGTGTGCGCGCATAGCATTTGTTGCAGAGGATGGTGGTTGTGGGTCGAACTTTGTGTGGTTCGGGCTGTATGGATTCACATGTTGAATGAACGGTGGGGTAAGTTCAAATGTGAACTGCACATCCCCAGGCGGGATCGATCATGCCAGCTTCGGAAGGGTGGTAGATCCTAGTTCTAGTGTAGGTAGGAAAGAGCGTATATGTTGTGCAATCTATGTGATGCAGCCTATGCAGTGCAATCTTTGTGGCTCAATATCTGCGGTGCAATTCGCCATGCCGAACGTGAAGTTGTCAATGCCATTGCTCGCGCAAACCTTTCATTCACACACCCGTAACTTGGTTTGCAAAACCCATGCGGCGGCGATTGCGATTAGTGTTTGGTGTTGGCTGGTGCATCTGTGCGGCCGCGCTAGCGCGCGCAGGCTGGCGCGCGCAGCGACCAGCAAGTTTGGCGCGACCGACGCGGCCGCGGTGGCGTTGACCGCTGGGCATTTCCCAGCGGACACTTCAGTGCGAATCGGCGACTTGGGCGGGCGTGGGATCATTGCAACGTCGACGACGGTAGCTCCGGTGATGAGCGTAGCGGTGCTGGTGGCGCTGTTGACAACGACTACGGCAAGGCCAGGGACGGAGCCAATGCTGATCACGCCGACGGCGATGACGGCGTCCTGGCGTTTTTTTTAGTGTCCTCGAGGAAGTCTAAGAACACTTCTCAAACTGCTGGGGGACTTCCGTACCTTTTGAGAAGGCCTTTTTTCGGTTCACTTCTCCACCTCGCTCGCCGCCGAGACATGCGCGCGCGGCCGACGTGCGAAAGTGGCCCGCAGTGTATTATTGGACACGGATCGTGCCTCCCCGCGCGCGCGCAATGGCATTCGAATGATTGCTTAATGCGAATGATTTCGACATGCAGCGTGGGAAGCCCGATTGGCAGAATGTAGTGAACATGTTGGACAACCCGTGGTTTTCTGGAGAATTCGCCAGAGCGCGATCGCAGTTTTTTGTGTTTGTTTTTTGGGGGGGAAATGGGGGTTGCACGGCCATGGTTTCTTAAATGTTTCTGGGGCGTTCGATTTTGACATTCTTGCGAAACCGTATTCTGTACCTATTTTGACATGCGCGCGCGTCGACGCGCGCGTGGGCATGCCGTCCTGTTTGTTGCCAAGGATTCTAACGACAGCACGCGGGCAAGGCTTTTCCAACGATTTCGACATGCGGGCGCGATTTGCCAAGTTGGTATCATGTTATGGATACATTGAAAGGCTCATGTTTTTTTTTCTCGGAAAAACCCGCAAGAGCGCGAGCGCTGGCTTTTCTGAACAGTCTTGGCGCGAAGCCATGTTTTCCTCTTATTCTGTATGTTTTCGGGACATTCGATTTTGAAGCCTTGCGAAACCGTCAGTTGTTTGACGGATTCCAGCGTGCGCGCGCGACGACGCGCGGCGCGTGTGCACAGGAGGGCGTCAACACAGATCCCAGATTGCCCGCCGTGGTGGTGATAAGGATCGACTTTTCACCTCTCGCTGCTTTTCATGGCCAGCCCGCTCGAACAGCCCCGACACGGGTGTCCAAGAGGCCTGCGTCCTTATCGCGCACCTTTATCATCAGGGAGAAAGCGAACATAATGTTGAGCCATTTTGGAGGCCATCTGGGGGTCTCCTGAGGCCCTCTTGGAAACAGTTCGCCAGGCGAGTAGGGGTGTTGCTGTGAGAGGTTCTCGGAGGTCTCTTGGAGCCATCTTGGGGCTCCCTCGGGGTCCTCTTGGGGCCCTCTTCGGGCACTCTTGGGG